GTAGCACTCTGGAGAAGTCCCTGAGGACTGGAAGAGGGCCAAAGTTGTGCGCATCCACAAGAAAGGCAGGAGGGAGGACCCAGCTAACTATAGGCCAGTCACTTTAACTTCCATCCTAAGGAAATTCCCAGAAAAGTTTGAGGAGTATATCTGTGATAAGCTTTCAAAAGGTAAGATGCTGAATGACAGCCAGCCATGCCTTCATCGTAGGCAGGTCTTGCCTTACCAACCTCATCTCCTTCTATGAGCAGGTAACTAGACACCTGGACAGGAGACCAGGTTGACATTGTATACCTAGACTTCCAAAAGGTCTTACTATCCCATGATGTCCTTGTGAGAAAATTGGAGGATTGTGAGTTTAACTCTGAGACAGTCAGGTGGGTGAGAAACTGGCTGCAGGAAAGGATGCAGAGTCGTAGTGAATGGATCTGTGTCATCCTGGCGAGAAGTGGGCTGCGGTGTCCCACAGGGGTTGGTGCTCGGACCACTACTTTTCAACATCTTTATTAACAATTTGGATGTTGGGGTGAAGAGCTCACTAGCCATGTTTGCGGAAGACACCAAGTTACGGGGGAGCATGGTCATGCTTGAAAATAGGCTACAGATACAGGTGGACGTAGAGCTAGCAAGTTGGGTGGATCAGAATCGTTTGAAGTTCAGTGTTGAGAAACGTAAAGTGCTTCACTTTGGGAGTTTGCTTGGCGGCACCAAACTGACTAGCACCACAAATAAAAGGGACCTGGGGGGTAAAAATAGATCACGGTATGAATATGAGCCAGCAGTGTAATGCTGTAGTCAGTAGGGCAAATAATATTCTGGCATGCATCAATCGATGCATCTCCAGCAAAACCAAGGAAGTGATTCTTCCACTCAGCACTGGTGAGACTGCAGCTGGAGTACTGCATCCAGTTCTGGGCACCACAATTTAACAAGCAGAGAGAGAGAGAAAGCTTGAGAGAGTCCAAAGAAGAGCCACCCATATGATCAGAGTCCTAAAAGGCAAGCCATACGAGGCAAGGCTGAGGGATCTGGGACTCTTCAATCTGAGGAAAAGAAGGCTGAGAGGGGGCCGGGTAGCAGCTTACTGCTACACAAGGGGGGTACATCAAGGGCGCGATGAGCAACTGTTCACCAGGGCACCCAAGGGGAAAACAAGGAGTAATGGCCACAAACTCTTGGAAGACCATTTCAGCTAAACATTAGAAAAAACTTCACAGTCAGGGTGTGCAGACTGTGGAATAAGCTCTCTCCAGAGGTGGTGCTATCACCTACCCTAGAAGTCTTCAAGAGGAGACTAGACAATAACCTTGCTGGGATCACCTGACCCCCAGTTATCTTTCCTGCTTGGTGCAGGGGGCTGGACCCGATGATCTTCTGAGGTCTCTTCCGGGCTTACAGTCTATGAATGTATGACAAGTGCAAAGTCCTGCACTTAGGGCAGAATAATTCTATGGACCGGTACAGCCTGGGGACTGACTGGCTAAGCAGTAGCTCTTCAGGAAAGGACCTGGGAGGTACAGTGGAAAATAAGCTGAATATGAGCCAACAGCTTGCTCCTGTTGCAAAGAAGGGTAATAGCATACTGGGCTGCATTAGCACGAGTGTTGCCAGCAGATCAAGGGGAGTGATTATTTCCTTCTGTTCAGCACTGGTGAGGCCACACCTGGAGTACTATGTCCTGTTTTGGACCCCCTAAAGGGATGTGGACAAATTGGAGAGATTCCAGCAGAGAGCAATAAAAATTATAAGAGGGCTAGGAAACATGACTTATGAGGAGAGGCTGAGGGAACTGGGCTTATTTAGCCTGGAGAAGAGAAGGCTGAGGGGAAATTTAATAGCAGCCTTCAAGTACCTGAAGGGGAGTTTCAAAGAGAATGGAGCTAAACTGTTCTCAGTGATGGCAGATGACAGAGTGAGGACCAATGGTCTCAAATTGCAGCAATGCAAGTTTATGTAAAAAATAAGAAAAAACTTCCTTACTAGGAGGGTAGTAAAGTACTGAAACAGGTTACCCAGAGAGGGTGTGGCATCTCCATCCTTAGAGGTCTTTAAGATTCAGGTAGACAAGTCCTTGGCTGGCATGATCTAGTTGGGGATGGTTCTGCTTTGAGCAGAGGATTGGACTAAATGACATTCTGAGTTCCCTTCCACCCCTAATTTTCTATGAAGGTGCTTGCTTGGAAACTTAACAAGTAACTGATGGCTAACTGGAAGTGGCAGCTGACATTTCACTGATGAATGAGAGATGATAGATAGGATAAGATGCCATGAAGTGCCTTGACAGTAAAGATAAGCATCCTGTGTTTGAAGGGGTGTGGATGGATGCAGCGAGAGGAGTCACATAGTTAAAACAATAATTCAAGAAATGATCTTTGCAGCCACGTTCTGAGCAAAATTGCATTGGTCAAAGCTAGAGAAAGGCAGGGAAAAGCCCTAATTGGTATGCAAGATGATGAGTTAGTGGATTGAAAATGGTCTGCCATATCAATGTTATACATAAGGAATCTGTACAATTTTTGCATAACCTCCAGGGACCTGGAGGGAAGTACAAGTCATAGATGATGTCCAAGTCATGAACCTGCACAACGAGTGTGATGGTGGTATGTTCTGTAATGCCCCTTCTCTTCTGATCTCAGGCAAGGGCAGCATATAGCAGTGCTGCAGAACTGGGGTCCATGGAGACAGATCTGTGCTATGTGGAAGGCCAGACTTCCATCAAGGTCTGCCTGCGTGGTTTTTTTTTCTGTATCTTTTGATGAGCACATGTCACTTGAGAGACCACTTTAACAGAAACTGTACTTCCCAGAGGGAAGGGTATGGTTGTACAGCCACCAAACATATAAAACTTCTCAGTCTTTGAGGTTTTTATTTTTGTTCAGAGGGAAATGTGATTGTAAGTGTATATCCTGTTTGTACTGCATAGAGCAGTCATACTCAACCTCTCACCCATGGGATGTCCTCTGGCCCATGAGGCTCACCACAGATCCTGAAATTCAGCAGCAGGGGAATGGTAGCAGTATTAATTGCTGCTCTCCTGCTGCCAAATTTCCAGAGCTGTGGGGAATCCCATGGGCTGGATGACATGGTCCTGCATGCTAGATCATGTTGGTGAGCAGGTTCACTCTGCAGTGGGGACTAACACACGCAGGTGGATCCGGCATTCAAGGCCAGAAAGTTGAGCACCACTGGTATAGTGGAATCACTCTCTCATCACAGAAATTGAATGAATCAGGCTTTGAAATGAATCTTGCTGACTGATTAACAATGCACTCAGGGCTGGCCTCAGGGACAATGGCACCTTGAGAGAACTTGTATTTTAGTGCCCCTCTGCCTCCCATTAGGTTGGTGGCACTGCTGCAGGCAGGGGTGCAGAGCACAGTCCAGGAGGGAGGTGAAGCAACATGGTGCCCCAGGCAGGTGGATGGGCAGGCACTGCTGCTGCTGCCTACACTGCCTGACTCGGCTGCTCCTGAGCAGTGGCTAGAGGTGAGTGGCGGGCTGGGCATCACTCCTCCTGCCTGGGGCAGGGATCGGCCACAGTGTGCTGGGGGGAGAGCTCTGATGAGAGCATGGGGGGGAGGAGGGGGGTGATCCCCTGACCATGGTGCCCTGGGCAGTCGCCCACATTGCCCAACCCTAAGGCCCAGATCTGAGTGTTTCTCAGACCCTAAGCAGCTGAGGCCATGTTTTCACTCCCCCACTGCTTCCTGGACCTATTGATTCCTACACACACCTATGCTTATGGGAACTAGGAAGCCAATTTTTAGAGAGAATTGATTTTACAGAGGCTTTTCCCACAATGAGTGTGTAATCTCTAGAGAAGCCATTCATCTTCTCTAACTCCTGCAAACCCAGACTTTTAGTGCAGGAGCTAATATTCAGAGATCTGATCTGCCCTTTTTTCTTAAACGCCATATGCTTTTGTTTTCTAAAACGATCACTAAATCGGTTTTCAGAATTACAATTCTAAACTAAGACTAAATATCCTAAATTTATAAATTGATTGCTTTCCTCCTCGCACGTTCCTTTTGATGATTGAGGTAATTTTAACTAATTTCTGTTTTCTTAAAGGGAAATAACTGACAGAAATGGTCAGTTTTATTGGTTTTTTTATTTCACCCCACATTTTCTCATTCATAATCTTTATGGATGATATGATCAGCTTCTCACTAATAACCAGGAATTATTTTTTTGATTCAGAAAGAAATGGTTGCTAATGGCTGAAAGAAGAGATGGAAAGTATAACGGAAATGTTATTGAATTTTGATCTATCTTCTGTTAATACCAGTGGGAATAGTCATTTAATTTTAATGGAGACTGTAATGGGTGCCTAAAGACCCTGTTGAATAATAACAACAATGCTGTTTTATTACATGGTGCTTGCAGTAAATGCATTCTTCTTCTACCCTCTCCCCAATAAGTAAACCTCCATGTGTTGACTTAATAATTTTTTCCAAGGACTTTTTCAAATGATGTAGTCTAAACCCTAGGAAACGTGATCTTTTTTAATAATACAACACTGAGTTTTTGAGATTTCTAACAATTGTGAATGTAAAATATGTTTATATACTATTTAAACGGAAAAGTTTTTAAGGACTTTAGATGAAAAGCCAGTTGTAGCAATTACTGGAACACTTTTTTTCCCAACAAATCTTCATGGTAGAGACACCACCGGTTATGCACACAACAAGTCCCATGGCAATTCAAAGTGTCATTTTGAGGTTGCTTGTTAGTGGTTTCCCATCCAACAAAAATCTAATGTTTTTGTAACAGTGATTCATGAGGACAATTAAGGAAAAAACATTTTTCACAGCTGTCCTGGCTCAGCAGTGTCCTTAAAATGAGGTGACCTTTAGCTTCTCCAGGCTTCTCATTTGTAAAGTCTTTTCACAAATCTGTTTGAGCTCTTTTCCATTTTCTTAATTTGCAAGGGAACTGTGCTTCACCAGATTTTGGAGTACAAATAACAACAATCTTTCACCAGGTTCTTAAAGGTTTGGAGAGAAAATCACGTTGTGAAGTTATAACTTAACCAGGGTTTTGTTGACCTCTCCTCCTTGCTTCTGAAAGTTAGTGAATCATTTCATGTTAGGGCAAGAGGATAATTGCAGTTTGTTTCTATAATTGACTTACATTTTGATCTTGGACTACTCTGTACATCACTGATCACAGTGCCTCTCAACTAAGCATTGTTATTTCTCCAGTCTCTGCAGGCGCAAAAGAGTTGTGTTTCACGTGCCAAATCTCTCAAAGTGCTGAGCATCCTTAACTTCTAATGATTGTCATCACAGAGAGTGCTGGGGAAGCCACAGTACATTGTGCAATCTGGCTTTCCAGCAGTAATTGTAAACTGTCCTTGTCATAGTGAAATGACTATTAAGCCTTCTCCCTGCATAGAATAAATCTACCTTTCAACTTTGGCTTTCATAAGAATATGAAGGGCCGGATGCAGTGATGAAAGTTCAAGTTAACTAGCCACCATTTTTGATCTATAGCAGCAATTCTCAACTGCAAGATCTTTTTGAAGGGTGCTGCAAAGTGTGAGAAGAGAAGTGCAGGCTCAGGCTCATTGCTACATGGGTGTTGTCCTTCCATCACTGCCTAGCTCCTTTGCAAGGAGACAAGAACTATAATAAGTTATTTCATTTTTTTAAATGGGCTGCTGCTCAGTTCCAGAAGTTGTGGAGGGGTGCCCTGAGTCTGTAAAGGTTGAGAATTACTGATTTATGGAGCTAGGCATTGTCTGTCTTTTAGTTATGACTCCAAGCTTTTGCATCCTGAAATCAAGTGCCTAACTAAAGGTGTGAATGTTTCTTCTACCTGTCCCTGCATAAGAGTGCCAGGATTCACAGCTGGTCTCTGGATATTTCTGTGGTCTCTGGATACAACTCTAATAGTCATCTCAGAATCATCATCAACTCTCTCTGCCTATGTGCAGGAATTCTATTCTTAGGAATAGAATTATATGTCTTTAGTTAACTGAAGAAGATGAAAACAGACTTGGGAGCTTTGTTTCTTGGCCCTAATTTGCTGCTTTTTAGGCATTTTCAGAAAATGATTGAAAGTTATTTTTAGACCCCAGAGAAGACTACAACCAATCAGTGGTCGTGCTTTTCACAGCCAGCTCTCTCTCCCTCTGCCATCCCAAGAGCACTTAATTTGCTTTGAGCTGTTCTTGCCATAGATGGTTACAGGGGAGAACATGCAGATTAAAGCTGGGTTGAAGTTATCCATCAAAATGTTTTCCACTCCTCCCACTTCCTACAAAAATAAAATTTCTACCAAAAAAAGGAAAAAGAAAAAGAAAGAAAGATAATTGTGGGGGACAGACCTGGCTGATAAGTCACAAAGGTTAGCACAGCTGAGGGATAGAAGTCCTTCATGTGCAAGATGAGGAAGGAAGAGGAAACAAAACGGTATTTTGTCTAAGGCCTTCAGGATGTGGAACTAGCCTAACAATATTGAAGCTCATCCTTAAATAAACTAGGAGCCAATAGGCTTGTTGAAAGATAAAATGATGTGACTGTTCCTCTTTGTACATGAGATTGGCTGTACTATCGCAACATAAAATTCTGCATTGACTAAGACAAGCTTGGAAGCACAATTTAAATTCTAACTACAGTGCTGTTAGTGTGCTTTGAAGTTTCCATATCCTAAGAGTCTGACTCATACACTGAATAATTTCCAACTTACAGAGTTCTTTTTTTTTTTTCTCTTCATTTTTTTTTAACTGCCATGTACAGTGCTAACTTACCTATTAAGAAGAGAAAGGCAACTTCACCTTCTCCACAGAAGTCTATAGGGCAGTTTTTAAAAGCTTTTTTTTCCATTTAGCAGATAGCCCTCTGCTCCTCTGGGTTTTTTTTAACACATTGGTTCAGATCTTTGACCATGAAAGATCATGCCATGAATTATACAGATTAACACCAGCTGCAAGTCAGGACTTTCAGCATCAATTCTGAAGTCTTCTGTAGTTTATTCAGAGTTGTGAATATGGCATCTTGACAAGGGAGTTTGTTGATTCCAGAGAGTGGAACAATGAATGATTTCTATTACAAGAAGGCAATGTTAAATTGATCAGAAGCTGCTTTAGCAAAAGCAGAATTGGGATTGTTGTGTTAATTGAGATTGTTGTGTTCTCTTTGTTCTATGGAATTTACCTGGTCACTTCCTGATAGCGCATCACATACCTCAGGGTTTCTGTGACCATCAGTAGACCAGGAAGGCCTCTTTCTTTTCCTCCTGTATTGGCTTCTGGAGTTTTGGGACATTGGCTATGACCTATGACTAAGGCTGGGGCTTTGATTGAGGTACATAGCCACTGCTCCTGCTGGTAACAAGAAATCTTACAGTTTTCCTGCCAGAGGATCTTGCTGTTTTACTTGAGTCAAACCAATCACCAGATTTAGGGTCAGGAAGGATTTTTCCCTCAAGTCAGTTTGGTAAGGGTTTTGGGGGTTCCTGCCTTCCTCTATGGTGTGTAGGGCATGGTCCTCTTCCAAGAATCCTGTGAGCATACTTGCATTGCAGCGATAGAGAGGTTTGGCAGTGCCTTTGTTTCTCCTGCTTTTACCTGTGGTTAGTTATAGGGGAGTCATGGTATCTCTGGTCTTGTCTTGTAGTTGTGGTGTGTGAGAAGTTTGAAGTGGGTGCTTTTTCAGGAATTTTTAAACAGATTATGGTCTGTGAATAGTGCCCCAGAAGTCTCCTTTCAGTCCTATGTTCCTGTGACGTGGGAAAAGCATCATATACTTAATTTTCTGTTATGTTATTTCTTTAGTCTCCTCGTTTAATAGTTCTGTTCATCACACTAAGCCTTTTGGTGCTAATGGTTTTTACTCTAGTAGTAAAATTAGGGCCACGTTGTAGACATGGTCAGATCTAGTGACCTTTACTGCAAAGAATATGCATACTGAAAGATACTCTTGTGTGCACGATCATTGTATACCAATATGCACATGAGATCTCTGCAAACTTAGCAAAAGAGGGGATCATCACTGACTTATTTATTTGAAATTATAACCTTCTAGGACAAAACAAATGTTAATTTTGAATTTCATTCTAATACTAATCATAATTCTGTCCTTCACAGCTTCCTGTTATGGGAGGAGCTTTCATGGACTCACCCAATGAGGACTTTAGTACCGAATACTCCTTGTTTAACTCATCGGCCAATGTCCATGCAGCTGCTTCAATGCAGAACCCGCCAGAAGAAACGCCCCGCTCCTCAAATGATGCCATACTATTATGGATTGCGATCATAGCAACAATTGGAAACATTGTGGTTGTGGGAGTGGTATATGCCTTCACATTCTAAGAAGATTGGAGACCCGAATACTGCAGGAGTGGACAGCTACAACAGTATTTCTCGTGTGTGTGTGTGTCTGTATAGATGTCTATATAAATATAGGTAGACATGTTGTCCATTTTAAGCACTGGCCCAGCCTAAGAATTTGAACCTTGGTAGCAAAAAGTTTGGCTACACTTGCAAATTGTTTGGAGGTGAAAGCTTTACCCACGAGCAAAGCCAGTAGATGTCCTCTGTATAAACTTGGTGTGACAGATCAGTGTGGGTTCATTAAATATAAAAAGAAAGTAATGTTTCTATAGAAAGTGCTTATTTTCTACTGGTTGAATTTTCTATTAGCTTGTGTTTGTGTGTGTTTAATCTGCTTTTGGGTTGGTATTTTGATCACATCATTATATTAAATAACTGTACATCTGATACTCCCAGAAAATGTAGTTACCTAGTTTTCCAGATGCAATGGATGGGAGAGACTGGAGGATTTTTAGGGTCCTTGAAACTGTACATTAAGCATATGTGTAAATTTGAAATGTGCTATCACTCAGCTGTGTTTTAAAGTGTAGCTATTATGAGTCTTAAAGCAATGCAAGCAAGTAGCGGTGTGCCTGGTTTAACTAACACTCTGTTTTTCAAGTCAGTGAATAGGGAAGATGATCTGCAAGCGTATCTTGACTGTAGTAGTTCCAGAAGTTTATGTAATAGGTATTACTGCCTGCAGGCAGCCTGTATTCCAGGGGACGAAGTACTGGCAAGCATGTGAGGTGGGAAAGGCAAAAATCTTCAGTTTCCATTGTACAGCTGGCTAACTGAAACAACACTGATAGTTCATTGGATCTATCCCTTCTAGAAAATAAAGATCTCGGTAGTATGATGCCTTTTTCATTGGTTGTGTTGAAGTCCAAATTTTCTACCAGAGTCATCTGGTCAAGTAAACATTATTTATAAATGAAAGCAAAATCTTAATTCAGAGAAATTTTGCAGCCAGAATAACTGTCAATGATCCCCCTTAAGGGGGGAAGAACTGCCATCAGAAGGATTACTGAATAGTCCTGTTTTGCCCATGTGTAGGCTTCCATAGTGAATTGGTTTCACAAGTTAATTATAGTGGGGAGGCACACAGAAAAATGGAGAGCAGTATCTGAAGTGAAATTGCTGACAGGCTTGACAAAAATTCATATTTAGATGTTAATATATTCCTATGGGTAGATAATAGCTTTGAGGGGGGCAATGTAAAATCACTTGCAGATAGCATTTTATACAGGTATTTATATTCAGTGTTCTGTTAGTAGATAATGTCTTTGTATTACCTTTTGTGAGTAATTGTTTTAAGGGCTTTACCCATCCACAATAATCTGTAGCCTTCCTTACCTTGGGCATACATAGCTGCATCTTCAGGCAAAACTCAAATGAATGCTAGTCATGTCTTGCCTCTTTCTCCTTTTTTAAAAAGATGCAGAGCCTGAGCATAGAAAAATAGCAGCTGATAAATATTAATATGCAACCTCCACATATTGGGTAGTTTTCCATATTCTCCCCGCTTCACAGGCATAGGGATGACTGCTTTTTCCCCCCGTTATTCTCTGCCAGTCAGCTCAAGGCTGAATTAAAGCTGCCAGATATATGGAGAGTTTTGGCTTATTTTTCTCTTTGAACCACTTTCCCCTCCAAGTCAGAATACCCTAAATCAGCATTTCCGCTTTTGTATCTATTTATTGTTCAAAGTGTTGGCCTTTAAAGCTGCCCTGGTTCTTTTGGCAGCTGGCTTGCTGTCACACCGCTGCAGAGATCCTTGATCCATGAAATTGCATGAGAGGATTCCCAAAGCTGCACTCTAGAGACCATATTCTCCGAGAGTGAGGGAGCAATGGCATTGCTGTCGTCCTGTCGTTCAGTGGTGTGGAAGGTGAATCCGAGTTAGGCTTTGGAGGCTCAATTTGGCACCTATAGTATTTAAGATGATGAGCATCCTATAAACTCTATTCTCCCCTTCACAGAGAAAGAATTTACAAAGGAGGACTTTGGTTAATGCTCATGGGAGGTCCATAAATGAACTCCCCAAGTGTTCTAGCTAGAGACAAAGCCATGAAGTGCCAAATCTTATGGCCCAAATAAAGCCTTGAATGTAATGAAACTAGTGTGACCATGCAGAAATGCCTCTGACAGCCCAGGCCTTGTACTTGGGGGCATGGTGAGATGTGTAAGCATAATCTCTGTGTGTAGGACACCTTCCCTCTTCCCCCGCCTCCTCCTCTTCAAGGATCAGCCCAGAGCAAAGTCCTCAACACTGAGTTGGAGTACTAATGCCAGACCCATCTAATTGGGATTGGGCCAGATGAAAAGATTTAATGTGCCCCTGTGTGTCCCTCCTCCACTTTTTCATTTTAAAACAATAATACATGAAAGAATAGCTTGATGGCATGTCCCATTCAGCTTTCAGATGTGTCACTAGCTTCATAATTGCATTATTAGTTCCATGAGATTGTTCAGTGTTTCAGCGAGGCTCTATAGATATGATACATCTTGCAGTAAAACTACTTCTTCATGGTTGAGAGCAAAACAGTTTCACCATGATTAAAAAATAAATTGACATTATGGTAATTACCCAATAGGATTTTTTAACTGCTTGATGACTTTGCCTGTAGAATGCTTGGCTTAGATTTAAAATCCTAAAAACGTTTAAGTGCAATTAGCTGCGAGTGTGTGTGTGTGCATGTGTGTGTTACCTCCTGAAGTACTGGGCCAAAATGAAAGGGCATGCTTAGCCATGAAAATCAAGTACTCAGGAATGAACTGAAAAGGACCAAGCTTCTGCTTATGAAAACGAGACACTGCCATGTAGTCATATACAAAGAAGTGCCCTATTTTTATATAAATTTGATAGTAATTGCAGGCAAGATGAAAAGGAACCAGTTCCTCATTACACGTGTTTTCATCATCAGAAGCTGTCAGGAAAGAATCTGATGCAACTTAATTAAAGCAATTGGCTTGACAGGGTGGCATGTAAAATAGAGAAACTTGGCAGCAGGCCCAGTCTCAAGACTTGACAAGATCATAAATAAATCCTGTATTTAAATAAATGCAGGTGCCCATAGCAACTTTATAGTTAAATAAATTGAATATCCCAAGGATTTAAACATATTGTTGCTTGAAAAGGCTCTGCAGTGTTTTTTTGTGAAGTGGATTAGGGATGGTCTTGGCCTGAGGCTGAGTCTCTTAAAACTCTACACCTGGACCTGGACATGTTTGCCTAAAGGCATTTTATAACAAATTTATTGATGTGATACCTAAGTATTAAGACCAAGGTACCTATCTGAACCTCAGAACTTGGCTCATTCTCTGTACATGAGAACATGGGGAATTTCAGATTTAGATCCATTGTAACTTGGACCAACTCTAAACCCTCTGACCACTGGAATTATTATATTTACCTAAATTAATGACGACTTCAAATTTAAGACAATCCCCCAGTAATTAAATGCTATATATGATCACTTTATGAATTTGTTGTACATTTCTAGGTATAGAGTTTGATAAACAGAAGGTCATCGTAAATTCATCCCTCCCACTGCTACAGTGAAAGCAGCTGCAGGTGGACAGGTGGCCTCCTTGCCCTCTGCCCCCACACTACTTCTTTCCTCTACAGCTTGCTCCCCACAGCCCCTGCCCCCCCTCCCTTGCTATCAGATGCAGCTCTGCCTTGATTCCCCTTGGTCACAGAGCACATGGAGGCATGGCCCTTGCCTGACCATGCAGCAGTTCTGGGGCTGGAGCTATGCCCCTGCTAATTGGAGAGGCAGGAGACAGAGTTTCCCCCGCTGCCCCGGAGGGAATTGAGCCAGAGCCAGAGCTGCATCTTACATTAAAGTGGGGAGGGGAGAAGGTATGGGGGAGGCTGGAGAGGGCACAGATGGAGGGGAAACAGGCAGCTGTTGTGGCTCTGACTTGGGCCTTTGACCCAGGCTTGGAGCCAAAGTCAGTCACAACAGCTGCCTGGTCCTCTACCCTGCCTTGTACTCAAATGCAAGACGAGGGGCTCCCTGCCTCCCATGCTGAACAGGGGAAAAACCTCACCTTGTATTCAAGTAAATATGGTAAATAGTGCTCGCAGAAAGATTAGGGGCATTGGCAGGTGTTTCTTTTGCATCATGACCCCTATTGACCCAAACAAAAGGAAGAAGTATCTTTGACTGCACTTTCCTGTTCCTCAAAGTAGGTGTATGTAGCTGACTACATTGTGGCCTCTAGGCATCTGGGAGCCAAACAGCTCCCCCTTTTCTTACAGATCTCTCCCTTTGGAGTGTGGTGTTAGCTTTTGTGTGTAGACCATGCTGTGTGATCATTTGTCGAAGAAGAAAGAGGTCCTTGCACTTCTCTTTTAGCCCCTTTTGTGCATCAGCACAGAGCTCATCTGTCAGATCAGTTACGGTCTATATAAAATCTGAAGCACATGAGACCACAGGCAAGTGACACTGAGGTACTTACTAGTATGTGGAAAATGGTAATACACATATTGGTCTTCTAACTGAATAAGGCAAACCACCTTATAAATATTAGAGTAAGACCAATAGCTAGCTATCTTATAATTAGCACACCACCCTTTGCAAATGCAGGTAGCAGTAATATCTGTCCTCTCCAAAGTTAATGATCCTTGAAATGGTACACTGTGGGGATTAAATATTCTGACAAAATTTCCCCCCATCTGTAGTTCATGGGGCTTTCTGGCAATGGATAAATGGTGCAGCTCCTAAGAATTATTGTACTGTAAGCAGCGAGCATCCTAACCCAGTTGGCCGCTCATGGACAAACATTTGAAAGGAGACAGCTAGTTCCTTGAGGATGGAGATAGGGACATCATATGACAGAATTGAAGGCAGCTTGGCTCTTCCACTCTGTGTTCTATTCAATCTTCAAACACAGTGTTTTGCCCCTAGAAGTAATGTTTGGGGGGAAAAAATAAGATTACAAAATGCATTTGCTTGGGAATGTGTTTTTCACCTATCATCCACCTTGCTATACAAACTGACAAGTGCAGTGGAGAAAGAGGGGAGACTCGTGTTATGAGTAAAATATATATATAATTCATAGATTTTCATAGACATTAGGGCTGGAAGGGACCTCGGAAGATCATCGAGTCCAGCCCCCTGCCCAAAGGGCAGGAAGTCAGCAGGGGTCATAGGATCCCAGCAAGATAAGCATCCAGTTTGCTCTTGAAGGTGTTCAATGTGGGCGCTTGAACCACCTCCGGCGGCAGGCTGTTCCAGACCTTGGGGGCTCGGACAGTAAAGAAATTCTTCCTTATGTCCAGCCTGAAACGGTCTTGTAGTAGTTTATGACCATTCGACCTAGTCGTCATCCCTTGGGGCGCTCTGGTGAACAAACGTTCCTAAAGCGTTAGCTCGCTTTAGAATTGTCTAAGTCGAAACATGGCTGAATTGCGCAAACTGTTAAATATTTCCTTGAGATCCTGAGCTCCTTGAACACTCATTGATCTCACCCAGCATCATATACAGAAGTGCTCAGTGCCATACAAGACTAAGCTACTTGGTGAGTGAATACAAGCGACACAGACATTTGCTATCATGTTTTCCAACACACGTATATCAAACAATCTGGAAAACTTTCTACTGTGGGTGAGCCTGAACCAAATTATATTCCTTCCTTTATTCTATGATCCATTTTATATTTCTCTCTTATCAAAAGTTTCCTTTTTAATATCCTGGTGTTTTTCAGGATCTTAATCTCTTCACATTTTCCTGCAGAGTAGTAAAAGTTATTAATTTCACATTGCTCTGCTTTTTACACTGTGTCCTTGCAAATGTTGCTTTACTGGACTTCCTGTGGTTAATCACAGAATTCAGTCTGGAAAATAACATTAAAAATTGTTAATAAAAAGTGAGTCAAAAACCATAATCCTAGATAGAAACACTTCAGAACTTTGAGTTTTCAAGAAACAAAACTTAATTTCATCTAATTATTGTCAGGAAATACAAGGGTCATTCCCATATTTTTGCTAATGGTGTAAAATGTCATCGTTCTCACAGGTGAAGTTCAGAGCTGTTAATTAGCATCCTGTTTCTGTAATCCCATGGCCCTCATTTGTGTCTAACAGTCTGTTTATACTAGAGCTGAACTTCCCTCCAGAACATTGTGGATGGCAAGTCCTTCCTTATCTCATTGTTGGGAAGTATCAGGGAAACTGTTTTGTACTGGGAGTAAATGATCAGTGGTTCAAGATTCAGTTGTTTATGCCTGTCAGTTATTAAAGGGGGAAAAAACCAAACAAGGATGGGCCTGGAGGCAAGGGCATTTGGGGGCATCCTACACAAGCCACAGCATCCGGGAGGCCTGCTGTAAATCATACCAGCTGCTGTTATCCCTTATCTCAGGGGTGACCAACCCACACCACATATCACAAGCAACACAGGCTGCTTTTATGTGTTCTGTAGCACACTGCAGATCAGGGAGGGAGCAGGAAACAGTGGAAGATAAGGCAGAGAGCAGAAAGCAAAGCACCAGATCAAACAGGGAAAGGGGCTGAGTGGCACTCAGGGAGGATACAGGGTCTACTTTGTGGCCAAAAGGCTGGCTTCCACTGCCTTAGCTGGTTATTTCTGAAGCGCATTGAGCTCTGCACTATTGTTAGCG